ATTTTGAGCATTTTACTTTAAGTTTATTGGTTACTTGTATTTACATTTTTTGCCTTGACTATTAATATCCATTTACCTATTGAGTTGTTCACACTTTTCTTGCCAACTTTTAAAACTAATTTGTTTGTTGTAAACAATCTTGCATCTATCCTCTGATTTACATTTTCCACAATCTACTCTTTATTTTTAGAATATATATACATTCTATAGAATACCATACAAATATGGTATACCATACCATCTGATATGGTCAAGTACATCTATTTTCATTGTTTCTAGTTACCTTAATTATGAAGGTTTCTCCAAACCTTCTATTTTATCTATTTTTCATAATAAAATTTTAACTCACCAGGAAACTTATTAGTACAAGATAGAAACAAACTTTATTTTCTCATAATGACTAGAGACAGTTTATCATCAGAATTTATTAAGTATATTATTTATTCCTTGCTAAATTGATTACCATTCTTGCCATACATTAAATTATCCCAAGTAATAAGATGTATTTCTAAATTCTCTCCGTTGTTGACCTGAAAATCCAATATCTGTTTTTACAGCAATGCCTTATGTTTATGGTGACTTAGTGATAGGTCTTCTGTCACAGCAAAATGATCACTCATTCTTCTCTACATATATTGTTGCTATTATCTTGTTTCCCTTTATATAAACATTAAGATTCTTTTATTCAATTTTTAGAAGTTAGAATTTAATCAGAATTACGTTAAATCTATTACTTTTAAAATGAACATATTTATGATACTAAACTTGTACCATCCCAGACAGGACCATATAGGTTCATCATATAGTACTTCTGCCTTTTGTTAAGTTTATTCCTAAGTAATTTATAGTCATTATTACCAATAAGGAGGAATATTTATATTTTAGGTTCTTATTACCAATATTGAGAAAATCCATTTATCTTGCTTTACCTTTTATCTAGCCATATGACATTAATCCAGTACTAAATTTAGGTGTTTGTGCTTCATTTACATGGTTTCTCTAGGTATAAAATCACAGTGCAAATGAGATTATGAAAGCTTTTTTTTGTTTCCATACTAAATGGTTCATTCTTTTTCCAGCCTGAACAACAAAAATTATAATGATGATAATAGTGGGAATACCTACCAAGTTGATGGCCTCAAAAGAGTAACAAATATTTTATAATTTAGAAAAATATTACTATTCAAATATTTCATAATTTAGGAAGTTTTTTAGTATTTCATGTCATTTTGTTTTCCTACTTTGCCTAGAACAAGAATCATCACACCTCTAGTTGTAAGAGGGCCATACAGAAAATATTTAAGGTTTTATGGGACATATAGTCATTGTCACAACTACTCCACTCTACAGTTGTAGCATGAAAGTAGTCATAGACAATACATAAATGAATGGATATATTTTTGTGCTAATAAAACTTTATTTAAAAAAATGGAAAGGAGGCAGATTTGGCCTAGTAACCATTAATTGCTGACTCCCAGCTGAAAATTTTATTCAGAATTGATACATAACCTTTAAAAAGGATTTCTGGGGGGAAGGGGTTATTAGGGGAGTAAATGGTAATGAAAAAAATACAATAAAGATTAAATTAAAAAAGAAGAAAAAAAATTTGTAAAAAAAGAGAATATCATAATGGTTGAGAGTACAGACTTTGGAGATAGAATACCTGGATTTGAAACCCATCTCCACAATTTCCTATCTGTATAATGTTGGACGAAGTACTTACCCTTTCTTTGCTACATTCCTTTTTCTTGTGAAAATTGCACATAATAATATCATTATTCTGCAAATCGTTATAAGCATCAAAAACCTATCAATCATAAAGTTTTTGTATATACTAGTTTCATGCATATACTAGTTGTATAAATGTTTAATTAGTAAATAATAACATATCTTTTTGGTAGCCATTGATATGAGCATGTTTTAAATTACATTGATTTTCTAGTGGTTTGTATTTTATAACAGTATATTATTTTGATACCTAGGGATAGTGCTAGTGTTCTATTTTTTCATTATATTTATATTATAGGTGAATCTATAGTTTTCATTTTATAATATCTTTAATACTTATATTAAATTTATATATTTATAAATTAATTCAAATATAATATACCATAATGGTAGCCATACTTCTGACACAAAATGTATGGAGGGGGGCTGGTTCCCATACCAAACAATTCTTCAAACACCAACTGTTTGTACTACAACTCAATTCAATTCTGACATGAACTATTTGGAGTTGATGCAGACCCCACAGGTATTGGGCTCAATCCCACTGACTGCCCTACTTCAGATGCTAATCACAAGTCCTAGACATCCTGTACTTCTGACTTCCTGCCATAAATCTGGGGAGCTCATGACCCCATCCTCAGATTCAATAATTTGCTAAAATGGATCATAAGGCTCAGAAACATACTTTATTCATGTTTACAGGCTTTCTAAAGGATATTATAAGGATAAAGATAAACAGAAAGATGAAGAAATATACAGGGCAAGGTCTGGAAGGGTCCTGAGTTCAGGAGCTTCTGTCCTGTGTAGTTAGGGTTTACCACCCTCTCAGAACATAGATGCATTCAGCAATCAGGAAACAGTCCAAACCCCATTATCCAGGGTTCTTAAAGAGGCTTCACAACATAGGGATGAATGATTAAATCATTGGCCATTGTTGATCAAGTCAAATGCTAGTCCTTGTCTCCTCCGCAGAGGTCAGGAAAGGGGTCAAAGTGCAAAGTCTTTAATCATTGCTTGGACTTTCTGAACAGTCGCCATCCTGAAGCAGCCAGGAGCCCACAGCTAACAGTCATTTCATTACCTTACAAAAGATTTATCACTCAGGAGAAACTAGGTTTTTAGGATCTATGTGCCAGAAACCTAAGACAAACACCAAGTATTATTTCTTTTTAAAAAGCCTCTCCTATAATTTTTATCATTTAAAAAGGTAGAAGACTTTTAGATCTTTATGTCAGAAACCAAAGAAAAAACTAAAGATATATTTCTTATGGTGTCACAAATACCAATTTATTATTTTAATGTGTAAATAACTTTATTACATGGATTTTCTGTTTTAAAAAGGTTATCTAGAATTTAGCTAAAAATTACCTAGTCCTGATAACATTTTAGTTGTTATCATTCACATTTCTGATACTTTCCATTAAAAGAACTGTTTTTTATTTTTTGCTTGAATATTTATGAAGTTTAAAATTTCTTGTTATAAGAATAAAAAAGGGAAATATTGATAACAGTTAAATCTAGTGTGGTATTTTTGTGCAAAGTTATCTTCTATATTGTACATTTCAAAATATTCCAAATTAAAAATAAATTTAAAAAATAAATTAAGATTACTCTACAAGCTATGAATACTTAAATGACAGCTGTTAGCAAATAAAACAATAAAGCGTTTGAAAGATTTGTGTTAGTCTATTTTTCCACAATAGTGTTACATGACATAAAACCTCTAGAGCTCAGTAGCTTAGACAACAGGCATTTGCTGTCATGCTCATGGGTCAGCTCTTTCTCAGTGGATATTCATAGGCTCAGCTAGGTGGCTCTGATTTAGGCTAGATGTTGGCTCCAGCCCTGCTCCAGGTACGCTCATACTAGAGATGTAGCAAGAACAACTACCTTGATCATGGTTTTCTAATGGCTAATCACTGGAGAGCAAGAGCCAGGCCAGACCACTTAGCCATGTTTAAGGTCTCTGCTCATTGTCATGTATACTAACCTTCCACTGGTCAAACAAGTCACATGGACCACCCTAATTTTCAATGTCCAGGGAGGCATACTGGGCCTACAGTGGGAGGGGTGAATGAATATTGATGAACAGTAATCCACACTATCACAGTTTTCAGGTGAAAAGTTTATTTCAGGTTTGTTAATAACTTAACCACCCACAAAGGGCTGAAAGGAGTAAACAGTGTTTAATTTCCCCACATTTGCGTAGCAGCTCCCAGCCTGAGCTAGGGCTTCACAGGGTGTTGCTGGCACATGTGCTACCTTGTGTACACTTTAAAACAGATGCTTCTCTTCCTGGCATTGACACAACCCTATGTGTACATGCCATGGTGAGTGTGGCTACCTACAGCCCCACATGCCCACTAGGTGAGGTGCATTTGAGATGCTAATCACAAGTCCTAGACATCCTGTACTTCTGACTTCCTGCCATAAATCTGGGGGGCTTTGATGGGGAGCTCAGTTACCCATCAAATCTGGGTAGCTGGATTGTGAAAAGATCCAGCTACCATCTTTTCATGATGGGCCATCTTTCACTCTTTCACCCTTTTCACTCAGGGCCATCTTTATGATAGCCTTGGAGTTTCCTCAGGCAGAATTGTGAAATTAGAAAACTTTTACTTTAGTGCTTTTTTGCATATGCCCTTCTCTTTTGTTGTTCCCCACGCTCCTGTCATCCAGCTATACCCCAACCCTGGACCATGGGCATCCCATCAAGTTACTTACTGGAAACTTGCCTTCACTCAAAACTGCCAGTCCTATTTCCCAGGTTGCCTACTGCCAGTGAGTGTTAATGCCTGTCCCATCAGCCTATGTAAACTCTCTGTGCTTGTCTTAAAACACATGTGTCACATGGGGTTTAGTTTGCTACCCTTCTGATGGCTTGTAGAAATTTCATCAAAGAAACATTTTGTATTTGTGTCTTTTCATGCTTAAATTTTACTTTAGATCAGTTCAAATGTTTTATTACCATCTCTCTAAATGTACAAAATGTTAAATATTTCAATAAATCTGTTTTCATACATTTCTCTGTAGCAAAGAAATAATTTTTTTCATGTATATTTAAATAAATACAGGAATTTATATGCATCTGATGAGAGATATAATGTTCATAGTTATGTATTTTTATCACACATAAGTTTAATAGTGTATTTGCTTCATTGTGTTCCAACTTTGAAAGTATAATAGATTTATTATTTTCTAGAACTCTTTGCTATTTATAAGAATTAATAATCCTTTATTATTTCCTAAGACTCTCATTTTTTTCAATTTAGATTAAATCTATTGATGAAGAAAATGTGATTGGCAAGATTTCCAAGCAGTGGACTGGTTTTGTGAGAGAGGCATTTACAGATTACAGTAATTATGATATTCATTTCCCCTTAGACCTTGACGTGAAAATGAAAGCTGTCATGATTGGGGCGTGTCTCTTCATTGTAAGTCTATTCTTGCTAATCTTGGGTATTACTGTAAAGATTCAGTAAATTATATATTTTTAAATGACCTGCTTAAATGTATAGGTTTTATTCAAAGGGTCCCATTCAATCCTAATTCTGAAATTTCACTTTCTCCTGATAGTCTGGATTCACAGGTGACCAGTTTCTTGGGAAATTCTATTCAGTTTCATGTGGCAGTAAAAAGACCTTGTGTGTTACAGAGAGGCCCTGGTCTTTGGGGCTTCTATTTAAAAATTGAAACAGGTGCTTTGGGTAAGACTTCAAACATGAGCTTACATGGAGCACAACTCAGTGAAACAGGGAGATTTCATCCTGATTCATTCTTCAGTTAAACCTTCTACTGCAGGAGGGTGAACTGCAGTAAGAGTATGCACCCAATCAAGCCACCAGATGAAACTGGCAGTTGAAAGGAAACACATAGGATAAACAGTGATCCTGAACTTGTCTTCCATTAAATCACTCAGGGAGAGTTAAAAAACCCCAAGTACTAAATCATACCCTCATTCAACTAACTCAGAAGTTTGTGAAGCTCCCCAGGTGATTCAATATGCAACCAAAGTCAAGGACTCCTGGGAGAGAGCAACAGTTCTCAGCCTTAAATTGCACAGTAGAAACAGCTTGGGTAGCTTTTCAAACCTCCTGTGTCAAGACTGCACCCAGATATTGAATCAAAATCTCTGGAGATGGCACCACGCCTGCTAACCATTTAGGTCACTCCCACATGATTCCATTGTGCAAGCAAGGTTTGGAACACAAATTTGACCAAGGGAGCTAATTTTTTAAAAAGTCAAAGGTGAGAGAGTGTACAGAAAAAGAATAGTTATTTCAGAAAATAAATATCAGGAAAATAAAAATATAAAAATAAAATGAAAAAGGGACAAACTATCAACATAATAGTTTGTTGGCCATGTTTGGATATTGATTCTAATTAATCAGTTTAAAAACATTTACAACACATTTAAAGAAATTTAAACATTGGCAGTTTTCCCTGGTCAGCGTACCTCAGTTGTTTTCACTGTCATTCCATAGACCAAAGGGTCGTGGAATCCATACCTAGTCAGGGTGCATTCCCAGGTTCCATTCTTGGTCCAGGCGAGTAGAAGGCAACCCATCCATGTTTCTTTCTCACATCGACGTTTCTCTTTCTCTCTCTACCCCTTTCTCTCTCTCTAAAGACAGAGCGATGTGAAATATATAGTGTCTTCAGGGAAGAGAGAGTGTTCTAAAATGTTTAGATCAATGGGAAATGGGGCTGGGGTGATGTTTGGCTTACTCATAAATGACTAAAGGCTTCAGCTAAAGGATCTTCAAAGATCAGGCAACTTTTGCCCTGGTTGGGTGGCTTGGGTGGAGTGTTTTCCAGTGCACCGAAAAGTTTTGATTCCCATTCAGAGAACATACTAGGTTTTGGGTTCAATCCCCAGTGGGATGCGTTTGGGAGACAACTGATCAATGCCTCTCTTTCTGCCCCCCACTTCCCCTCTCTCTAAAAATCACTAAACATATCCTTTGGTAAGAGTAAGAGGAAAAAGATCCAGCAACTTTTTATAGAGAACTGTAATTCATTGAGAATTGTTTCATTTAACGTTGATTTTAAACTAGGTTTAACTATAATAGTTATAAATCAAAATTTTAGAAAGATAAATCCTGGTTTCTATGTGAGGAATAAATTTGAGAAGTAAAATTGCAATAGTTCATTTGCTAGTCATTAGCAATAAGGATAAAATTATTTCTGTTGACAATATAAAGGAAAATGAGTGAAAGAGATAAATTCCATAGGATGTGGCTGAAGTCATAGGGGTAGATGTCTGTATAGACACTGATGAAATCAAACAAACTGGGGGACATGGTGGACAAATTTGGAAGACAAATGAAACCAACACCAAAAAAAAAAACTCTACTTCTTAAAACGGCTGTCATTTTTATACATTTTTTTAAAATTTTAGATGGAACTCAAGTTACAGAAAAAGTTCTTTACTAGACAGGAATGAAAAAGCTGAGTAAGATAGATTGAAAGAGGAAGATCTCTAGGGGACTAGAAGAGGCAAAATATATTGAAATTACCAGATGATAATTAAATTCATGCAGATGTCAACAAATAAATAGAATTATAGGATTTAATTGCTCAAAATGGAAAGCTAAAGGTAAAGTTTATGTAGCTGTAAACTCTCCCCAGATTTACTCATTACAGTTTTCTTGTTTAACAGATATATTACTGTTTTCCTCAGAACCTTTAGAATTTCTATATCAGAGAATTGTCTGTTTTGCTGCTGAAAACTCATTTCTGTATTTTTTGTTTTTATCTAGGATTTCCTGTTTTTTGAAAATAATTGTTGTCCTAAAATATTGCATACATTCCTGAGAGCAATGATGTGTTAGTATATTAATGAATGTCGCAGGATTTGAAGTGTCTGTGCTTGGGACAGTGAAGTGATTGGGACTGTCTAAAAGGACAATCGGTGTTTTTCTTAAAAATAATTATACCATGTTTAAATTACTCTGTGATGCCTTGTAGTCCAGGTATATGATTTCACTTTCAAATCATATAGTTTATTTTCTGTATCATTGCTTATAAGTGTTTTTATACATTTTCTCTGAACGTTCATTGTGTATTTGGGAGAAATTACAAAGAACATGTTACCTTTAGGAGAAGTTAAATATAGTGAAAATATCTGAATATAAAACATACAAATTTTACTTTTTCCTGATAATATGCATATTAGTTAATTATTATTTGAACATAATCATAAAGGAGACTGAAATTATGTTAATATTTAACTATGAATATACAGTATTTGCAGAATAACACTAGTTGTTACAAAGGAAGTAAATTATAGCTAGATTTAATAAAGTATAATTTTATGTTATAATTACATTAATTATCTATTCGGGGTATAAAAATGGAAAAAATTAGACTATAATTCAAAAACGGTTTTGCATGAGACCTGCCTGGTTCCTGTCCCTGTCCCTGCCTATCACTTGCTATGCCTTAGCTAACTAAATTTCTCAGGCCAACATTCCTGCCACAGACCTTTTCTCTTCCAAGCTGCATCACCACCTATATCTTCATTTCCTCAACTGTCAAGTGGGCATAACAGTGTCTACTTTATTAGGTCAAGGTTAGGATTAAATGTTTTAACCTAGTCAAGGCACTTGAGCAGTTTCCTGTGGGAAACCAAAGCAGAAAATGAAAAATGCTTTAGTGTTAATAATGATCATTGGTTTTAAAATGAGAGAGTGGCTCCATCCAACATGCAAAACTTAAGCTAAATTGTATCTCTGTATTGTGGCTTTAAGTGACATATACAAATTATTCTGAACCCACAGATGAAGACTGGTTCCCTACTTGGAAGAGAAAGGATGTCTTTATACAAAATGCCAAACTGGAGAACCATTTTCATTTCAGAACAGGGTTGAATACCATCTGGGTCCTGAGGCCTTGACTTCCTTTCTTAGCTTCATGGCCTCCAAATATGGTAAGTCATGAAAGAAGGAGGCAAATATCTGTAGCATGAGACCAGATGAAATATTGTTAACTAAACAATACAGAATTTGAATTAGAAGTTCTGGATTTATAAGCAGAATAGGCCATAATACCCAACAGTCAATTGGCTATAGACTTGCAAACTTACTTCTCCCTATACTAAGCATGCAAGTTAAACTTCAATCTACCTTTAATTTTATGTAGAATAAAGTTGCTTAATTGTGCCAAGGGATAGCTTGCCAGCTTCCATGGTCATGTGAGCCAATTCCTTAAAAACTTACTGTTTTCCTCTTTCCCTCCCCCTGTTCCTCTCCCTTATTCTGATTCTCTGGATAGCCCTTATTAATACACTGACTTCTCTTTATAATCTATCTTTCAGTAAATATTTCTATACGTGTTTCCTTCTATGCATAAGAAGAGGTTCTCTGCAGCTATTGCTATTATTAGAATTTCAAGTTCTAAGGGTATGAACCCCTTCATTGTCATGAGAGATTGTGATATTGCTCTGCCAATTGGTTACACCAATTAACTGTTTTAACAGTAGTGTATGTGCATTGCTGTTGTTTTACATACCACCGCATCTTGATATTGTCAAGTTTTGTCAATTGACATCTTTAATAGGGAATCTCATTGTTGTAATTTGCAATTTATAAGATTTCTAGTGAGATTGAGTGTATTTTTGTTCGTTCAATGTCCATATTTCCTCTGTCAGTGTAAAATATCTTCAAGTCCCTTACTTGGTTCTAAGCAGTTTACAAATGTCCAAGACTGTCATGCTGTCTATAGGAAAGTTTTGACAGGGAAATAGATTTTATTATACTGGTAAAACATAATACTATCTAACCAGAAAAAATGTGGAAACCAGATCTCAAAATGGATAAGGTGCAAAACAGTCAACTCATGCAAAAGAAGCTCACATAATTTTCATTCCTTTTAAAGGGCCAATATACACTTTTTAAAGTATATTTTATTGATTATGCTATTACAGTTGTCCCATTTTTTTCTCTATTTTATCCCCCTCTGCCCTGCACACTCCTCCCACTGTATTCCCCTTCCCCTGCTTAGTTCAAGTTCATTGGTTGTACATACAAGTTCTTTGGCTTCTCCATTTCCCATACTATTCTTAAATTCCCCTTGTCTATGTTGTACCTACCATTTATGCTTCTTATTTCCTGTACCTTTTGCCCCACTCTCTACCCCTCCCTGCTATAACCCTCCATGTGATCTGCATTTCTGTAATTCTGTTCCTATTCTAGTTGTTTCCTTAGTTTGTTTTTTTAATATATTGTATTGATTATGCTATTACAGTTGTCCCATCACCCCACTTCATTACCCTCCACCCTGCACACCCTCTCCCACCCACATTCCCCCCTTTTAGTTTACGTCCTTGTGTCATAAGTTCTTTAGCTTTTACTTTTCCCATACTATTCTTGCCCTCCCCCTGTTTATTTTCTACCTACCATCTATGTTACTTATTCTCTGTACCTTTTCCCCCTCTCTCCTCCTTCCACTCCCTTATTGCTAACCCTCCATGTGTTCTCCATTTCTGTGGTTCTGTTCCTGTTCTAGTTGTTTGCGTAGTTTCTTTTGGTTATGCTTTAGGTGTGGTTGTTAATAATTGTGAGTTTGCTGTCCTTTTACTATACGTGTTTTTTCTTTATCTTCTTTTCTTAGATAAGTCCCTTTAACATTTCATAAAATAAGGGCTTGGTGATGATGAACGCCTTTAACTTGGCCTTATCTGAGAAGCACTTTATCTGCCCTTCCATTCTAAATGAAAGCTTTGCTGGATAGAGCAATCTGGGATGTAGGTCCTTGCATTTCATTACTTGAAATACTTCTTTCCAGCCCCTTCTTGCCTGGAAGGTCTCTTTTGAGAAATCAACTGACAGTCTGATGGGAACTCCTTTGTAGGTTACTGTCTCCTTACCTCTTACTGCTTCTAGGATTCTCTCCTTCATTTTTACCTTGGCTACTGCGATTATGATGTGCCTTGGTGTGCTCCTTTTTGGGTTTAACTTTTTTGGGACTCTCTGAGCTTCCTGGGCTTCCTGGAAGTCCATTTCCTTTGCCAGATCAGGGAAGTTCTCCTTTATTATTTGTTCAAATAAGTTTTCCACTTGTTGCTCTTCCTCTTCTCCTTCTGGTACCCCTATAATTTGGGTGTTGTAACATTTAAAGATGTCCTGGAGGTTCCTAAGCTTCTCCTCATTTTTTTGAATTCTTATTTCTCCATTATTTTCTGTTGGTTGTTTCTTTCTTCCTTCTGGTCCACTCTACTATTTTGATTCCCAGTTTCCTTCCCATCACTATTGGTTCTCCATGCATCTTCCTTCATCTCTTTTATGGTATCCTGCATTTGTTCATATAATTTGTGACCAAAATCAACCAGTTCTGTGAGCATCCTGATCACCAGTGCTTTGAACTGTGCACATCTGATAGGTTGGCTATCTCTCAGTCACTTAAAAGTATTGGTTGAGAGGCTTTGAATTCTGTTTCAGCCATCTCCCCCCACCCCTTTGGTCTGGTCACACCTGTTACATATGAGGAGTGGAGTCTTAGGTGTTCACCAGGGCAGGGCACCCCAGTTGCTGGGTTGTGACACTGTATGTGGGGGCAGGGTCCAAGAGGGAACAATGGTGCTTGCTCTGCTCTCCATTGGACCTCAGTCCCTTCCTCTGCTTCCCCCAAGCAAACTGAGCCCCTCTGGTGCCAATTCCCATGTGGGTGGGCTTGTGCACTCCATGGGACTTTCCAAGGACCTCTCCTGTGAGTCTGGGAGTCTCTCCCTGCACCTCAACTCCCACAGGTGTTTTCAATCAGTGTCCTGAGGCTCTATTTCCCAGCGCTGGGATCCTGGGTTACTCACAGTGCCTTGCTTCACAATTCCCGCCTTGCTGGGTCTGCCGTTCGCCACCCCACAGCTGGGGTCTGCCAGCTGCCTCTTACGCACTCTGGGTCCTCCCATTGTGGTCATGTGCACCCTTGATGCCTTACTCTCCTGGTCCCAATGCTCTCTGATCTCCACACTGCAATCCGTGCCCAGCTCCCTGACTCCACCCCTCCTACCGGTCTGGATGAATGGGTATATTTTAACTTCTTAGTTGTCCGACTTCCATACAGTTCAATTTCCTGTCAGTTCTGGTTGTTACTCTATTTCTAAATTGTTGTCCCTATCTTGGTTGTGCGAGGAGGCACAGTGTGTCTACCTATGCCTCCATCTGGCCAGAAGCCCTGTTTTTGTTTTGTTTTTTTAGGTTTAGCTGTTGATAGTTGTGAGTTTGTTGTCATTTTACTGTTCATATTTTTGATCATCTTCTTTTTCTTAGATAAGTCCCTTTAACATTTCATATAATAAGGGCTTGATGATGATGAACACCTGTAACCTTGTCTAATCTGAGAAACACTTTATCTGTCCTTCCATTCTAAATGGTAGCTTTGGTGGCTAGAGTAATCTTGGATGTAGGCCCTTGCCCTTCATGACTTTGAATACATCTTCCCAGCCTCTTCTTGCCTGAAAGGTTTCTTTGGAGAAATCTGCTTATACTCTTATGAGCACTCCTTTGTAGGAAACTCTCTCCTTTCCACTTGCTGCTTTTAAGATTCTCTTCTTATCTTTAATATTAGATAATTTAATTATGATGTGTGTTCCTCCTTGGGTCCAATTTCTTTGGGACTCTCTGAGCTGACTGGACTTCCTGGAAGTATATTTCTTTCTCCAGATGGTGGAAGTTTTCCTTCATTATTTGTTCAAATAAGTTGTCAATTTCTTGTTCTTCCTCTCCTTCTGGCACCCTTATGATTTGAGTGTTGGAACATTTAAGGTTGTCCCAGATTTTCTCCAGCATCTCCTCATTTTTTGAATTCTTGTATCTTCTTTCTATTCTGGTTGGATGTTTATTTCTTCCTTTTGTTCCAAACCCCCCAAACAACCCCATTAAAAAATGTGCTAAAGAC